AAGAGAAAGTGACTGGCCCAAAGTCACCCAGCTGGCTTTGTGCCTAGGCAGGACTAGAACAGATATCTCTTCTTCCAATAACCTAGCCATTATCTATATGCAAATTCATAAATCATGAACTTTTCAATCCTGGTGTCAGCAAAAAGTCTGTAAAGTTTTGCCACAGCTTTATGTCTTATTTTAACCTTGGTCAGACATACCAACTTTATATTCCTTCCTTTGAGTTCTAACCATCTTGATTCTTAGTTCATTCAGATGTTGTCGTAAGGTTTGATCTCTGTTCAGTGTTTCTTTTTTCCGTTCCAAAGTCTTCTTTGAGACTTTAATAAACCTCTTTTGTAAATCCCATGAAAAGTCATTATCCAGGTCATTCTCTTGGTTTGTCATTTGTATTTCCACTTTAGTTTTTAAAGCTTTAACCAACTTTTTTTGTGTATCCAGTAAAAAGTCCTTATCCAGGTCATTCTCATGGCTTGTCATTTGTATTTCCACCTCAGCTGCCTTCTCTACCTTGTAATTCACACTTTTTATTATCCAGTATTTCTGATCCTAGTATTTCTACATCAAGCAGAATTTGTTTTTCATCTGTCATTCCTTTGTTAACACCTTTTGGACATAATGTATCCATAGAAGTATCATTGTTGATATAGTGGCTACTACTCGCCAACCCCATTCTTCAAAAACCTTCTAAAGTATTTCAAATGTCAAAACATTTTGTGTCATTTTGAAAATCCCAATACTGATCAAGAACAAAAGGCAAATCTACACTTTTTTTTCCTTTGCCTGGAATCTTTGGTCCCCTCTAGTATCCAATTTCTGAAATCATAAAGTCTCAAATCTCTCTTATGACTTAAGATAGACAAAGCAATTTAGTTCCCACAAAAGATATAATTATTTCCAAAACCTTATAGTAAAAGTCTTAATATTCTAAACTTGCCTGGACCCTTAATTCATTTGTAACTTTCTTGGATCAAAGTCTTATTTAGCTTTTTGCCATTTATTTCCAATTCTTTCAATTCTTAAGCTTACAGTTAATTTTTCTTTTGTTCAAGAAAGTTATCAGGTGGCTTTTCAAACTTGTCTTTCTGAAGACTTCTAATAGCTTTAAGATAGTTAAATAGGCAATTTCTGAAAGTGATTAGAAAGTGAGGCTAGTGAACTCAGTGTCCTTTAAAAGGCTCCGCCATGGTTGTGAGCATGGTGGCAGATCCCTTCATCTCCTGGTGCTCAAACCTGCAGGAGACCACTGTCCTGCACTCTCCTCAAAAAGAGCCGCTGTTCGGAGCACATGTAGATGACCTCCTGTCCTTTCCTTACATAGAGAGGTTCTGTAGAACTGATCTACTCGCCAGTTCTTTGGTCTTTGCCATGGTTGTCATCTCCGCTGTTTTGGAGATGAGTTAGCTCACCATGCCTCCCGCAGAAGTCCTCACATTCAAAATCTGTGTGTCTCCCCATCTCAAGCTGCTTTCACAAGCATACAGTACATACAAACTCTGGCTTTCCATTCAAAACATTCCAAAGAAATTTTGGTACTAAAAAACATGTTCTAACAATCAGTTCCTATAAACAGACATCAGACAAGACTTTTTTTTTTTTTGGTTTGTTTCATTCCAGAGACTGAGACTGGTCTTTGCTTCCTAGTTACCTTGCTCAGAACATAAATGTGTTTATTTATTTATTTATTTACTGAAGCTGCATTCTACAGACACTTTTCTCCCTTCCTCCTGAGTTCTCTTTACTCAACAACAATGTCAACATTCAAATCTATGCCATCGTAAGCCAAGCTGCTGAGCGAATAGGAGCTGAACTCCCGCTGATAAATGAAATGCCGCCAGTTATTCTGAATGACTTGGGCTGCCTTTTGACATTTCTTGTACTGGGTTTTCATAAGCCACATCCTAAACTTTGACTGCAAGAGGACGGTCGACTTCTCAGGCCAAACGTACATCAGCAGGGCCCTTACCCTCCTCTCCTCTTTCAGCTGATAGGCCCGTTGGCGCCACCACCTCTGGATTCCCAATGCGCAGAGGGTGGCAAAGAGCAGAGTACGGCGGACCAGCATGCCCCGCCACCATGTTTGGATGAAGAGGGTCATCTGAGAAGAGGAAACAGTTAACAGGGTGTCACTAGTACATAGTCAAAAGCAGAAGAAAAGCACCTTCTTCAGAGAGTAGTACCAAGTAGCCAAGGGTTCCGTTTGATTGTTTGTATCAGCTATGCAAGATTCAAGACACAAAAGACTGAAACTGGAAATTAAAAATATGGTTGTTCCAGGTAGTTACACACATGGACAGCCCCTCGTGTGAATTGTTGATCTCATGTGATTTCAGCCATTTTAACATTTTAATTTAATTGGGGAATTCACAGGGGCTACCAATCCTTGTTCTGGCCTCTCTTTACCCCAGATTGAAGGCTAAGCCAATTCTCACTCAAAACAAGGCTTCTAATTGTTTGTTATCCTTCCTGGATTCATTCTGGAACAAGCCTTTCAACAAAATCTCCCTGGTGCCATTCTAAAGATTTTCTCTTTTGCCAACATTATAGAGGGATAACAGATGTAATGTGCCTGGAATTTATGTGCAATACACACACACCTTCGTGGTTGTTATATTAACTTTTTTGAACATACTCTGGGGACATCTCTATGTCGGGCTATGATGGGGATTCTGTTTTCAGTCATTAAGTTTGGAGATATTAAGTTAATCACACTTTTTAAATGGTTTGCTTGTCCCTGGCTTTGATTCATTCTAGTGTTTATTGGTGCATTGCTTTTTAATTTGATGAGCTAGCTCGAAAGAGTTTTGTAAGTTTGGATTGTGGCAGAAATATTCTATGAAAACACTGATCGGCTTGCACTAATTTCAAATTAGTGATCACTGCAAAAGGTACTGGAAAAAAAATAGTAAGATCTTCACCGAAATCTATTCCACAGCTATATTGGGAAAGCTTTGTGCAGGATTCTAGAAATCATACTTAATATCTGGAAAAGGAAATAAGAAATAAGAATGTATTTATGAATTTATACACTGTTTCAGTCAACTAATTCTAAGCAATATGTAAGAGTATCAGCTGAAGCCAATGCAGCGATAAAAGACACAGTATATGTACAATAAAAACCAATATGATATGTCATTACAGTTAAAAGTTACAATTAATAACCACAATATTCCTGGCATCAGGAACTGCACAACACTCAAATCCCAAAAACTGCTTGGATCAGCAAAGTTTTTACAAGCTTCCAGAAAGCTCTAAGAGTGGAAGCTCCACTTGCCTTGTGGGACAAGCTGATCCAGAGAAGGACAGTTCCCCAAAAGAATGCCTGTTTTCAGGTCCCCTCCATCACACCTCTGAAAAGATGGGACCTTCAGCAGGTATTCTATTATCATTATGGTTGGTCACACAGTCAGCCAGATGTTTAGACCAGATTTGGCATTTTTATCCACCTATCAAGTCCTTCCCAAGGCCCTGGGATAGGCAGATCTTGTTTGATGGTGTTAAAGGTATTGTCCCCTATTGTGGGGGAGATGGGTGGCGGCGAAGTCCAATAAAATAAATAAATAGATAGATAGATAGATAGATAGATAGATAGATAGATAGATAGATAGATAGATAGATAGATAGA